TCTTTAGAGAGGATAACTAATTTGAATTTGCAGTTCCTTTTGTTTTGAAGCCGAGTTTGATGGGCTTGAAGTATTTACATCTTTCTGTAACCCATGCAGATCCCAAATATTTTTAACATCAAATTGAAATAATTGACTAGATTAAAAAAAAAATAGCAAACAGGTGAAGCATCTTCCAGTAACACATTCTACAAAGCTGTTAGAAGAATCATAATGTAAAATTAGGGGAAAAAGTGATTTATTTTGGCCTCCCTCTTTTGTGGCTTTACTCTCCAAAGAAGTTAGAATTAAAGATCAGAATGCATTGTGACCCTAATTATAATAACTGCAGTATTTGGTTCTAGTTTTAAGACTGTTTTCACAGAGTTGATATTAAGGAAAACTCAGAATAAATTAAGTCAAAAGGAACTGAGTACAAAGGAACCCAATATAAGAAGAGCCTAAACTCAGTCAAGGAGGTGGGAGCCACAAAGATGAACCCTTGGGTTTGCTTTTATTTTTCTCTGATCCAAACACAGAATTTGGATTCTGTGTTTATTCTCTACCAGGCATGGATTATTTAAAAATTAACTGTTAGCTTTGAAGAGTACAAGTGAGCAGAAAGCAAAAGTCAAAATTAATACCATTGAGCAAAAATCTAACATTGCTCTTTTGTGTTCCGGTATGCTTACCCAGTGCTGTCATTTCGTGATCACGGGTTACTTAAGATGCCCTGATAATGTTTGTTAAGTTAAATTGAATATACCCTTTCTGTTTCACTTGTTCTTCTAAAGTGGCTATACCTGTATCTCAGAAGAAAAAAGAAATGAATTTCTAGTATATTAACATACTTTCTGCATGTCTAGCTCACTACAGCCTTGTTGGATTAAGGCTGTGTTTATTTAAAGCTCAGTCCAACTGATCATTTTCATAAACTGACTGGTAAAAAATAGATTTCTCTTGGTGTTTCCATGGGTCATTCACCAAGCAATAACACCATCAGGAGTTACTGATCCTTGGGGGATAAGCAGCTTAATTATACAGAAATTTGAAACAGAGAATACTGGTATAAGTACAAACATAGAGACTGTCCTGTCTTTGAGTGGTTTATTATTAAATTTAATACTTAAGATGGCCCTTTTGGTTTGTGTAGATTTTAATTACTAAGTAGGTCTGCTAAAATATGAATTATTGTATTATCACAAGTGATAAAATGTATATGGTTACGAGCATTGCAATCTGCAGGTGTAACGTACATAAAGCAAGATTAATAGTATCAGGCAATTAAACTGAAGCTAAAAGAAAGGTTTAATGCTACCCTTAAGTGTAACTTAAACTCTCGCTAAATATTTTTAACTGCAATAAAAGCATTTTAATTTTAGGAGTGACTTCTTTGTAAGACTTCATTCCTTAGAGTAAGTTTTCCTTTCTAAGAATAATTTCTGTTGGTAGCTCATTCCATAAAGAACTGATTTTTTTCCCCTTGGCTTTTAAGCTCAATGAAGAAAGCTCAAAACAGCACAGGACATTTTGTGTGTGGTGAATATGTGTTTGAACTTAATCTAATTGGGATTTAAATGATTAAATTATTGATAAGGTCATTGTTGGTCCCAAATCATTCCATTAGTCATAAGGTACTTCTTAAATATTTTGAGAATTTGGCCTTAATTTCCCTGTAATTGTACATAAAATAGAAGAAACTGTATTTTACTTTAATATCTTTCCATGTACAACTAGCTAACAACTTAAGTAAAAGAAACATGCTAGGCATCTAATAATTTTTTCTTCTGTAGTTCTGGTTTTTTTTTTCCCACCTCCTGAATTATTTTTTGTTGCCACTAACAAGACCAATGCCTGTATTTCCGATTTAATTACACCTTTGCTTCTCAGTAGCATGACAGGTGGCTTTACAGTGAGTTTAACAAGACCTTGGTAAACACATAAAGCACTTAGCAAAGTGTACAGAGCTCTTTACAAAGAACCTTCTAGATATCTCTCTCTCACACACACACACGCGCGCACACACACACACACACACAGAATTTGGTCCTTGCCATGGAACGGTTTAGCAGTGTAGTTGGCAAGGTGAAACTTCAGAAATGAAGCAACGTAAAATATTTGTAAAGCAGCACATCGCAGGTTGCGCATTAAGTGTGAGAGTACTGGAGACTTGCATCGTGCACAGCTTTGAAGATGAGCGTTACTCCGTGTCGAACCCCAGGTGTCTGCACCCCCACTCCCCAGCGCTGCGGGGCCACTGCTGCACGTGTGTGTGTGTGTGTGTGTGTGATCACCTCTGCAGCTATGCCAACACAACCTGAACAGTAGGAAAGTTGCAAGAGAAGGCGTTTGGGCAAGAACTGGGCATTTTGTTATAGAAATAATAAGAATAAAAATTATTTCTTTTAAAAAGCTACTTAGTTCCTTTTTTTTGCTCTTGTCCTGTCTGTGATGGAACCGAAGCTGTGATTGGCCATAAGAAAATGAGAGGAATTTGAACTTTAGGGGAAAGGGGAAAAGATCGCATTGTATTCTCCTCTGTGGTGTGTATTAACCTTCATCAGGTTTTTTGGGGGTGGGGTTTTGTTTATTTCCTATGTGATGTTTATTGTATTGTGATAAATGCCACCTTTTTTCAAAAGTCATTTTTATTTCAATAGGAGATACTAGAGAAAACATAGGGAAAAATTTTTCTCTACACAAAATAAGACTAAGCAAAAGCAGTCTTTCAGGAAACAGCAGCAGCAATTGCTAAGTGGGCTTATTCAGATAAAGAAAGCATTCAGATAACCTCTGGGAATGAAAGGCACAAATTCAGGGCATGATTTTACAGGTGTGGTACTTGAACTTTGTATTGGCATCCGAATTTGAACCAGAAGAATCAGTTAAATGTCAGAATTTTCAATTTTGAAAATTCCAAAATTTGCCTATCCATCAAACCAAGATAATTATTCTTTGTTTGTTGACTTACATTTTTCAGCTTTATTGAAGTATAGCTGACAAATAACATTTGTAAGCTATTTAGCATACGTCATGACGACTTGATGTACACTTGTGCACGTTGTGAAAGGATTCCTACCACCTGTGTGATGAACATGTCCATCACCTCACCTGGTTATTTTGTGTGTGTGAAATCAAAGTTCTACTCTAAGCAGATGTCAGTTACACAGCGTTACTGATGATGGTCACCATTAGATCCTCATCAGTTTGTTCCGTTGATGAATTTTTCTCCTGGTTGTGTCCATCGGATAAGTGAATCACCACATTCTAAATGTTTTTGTCACTTAATAACACAAATGTAATTATCAATTCCAGGGTCCTTTAGACAAGTGCCCCAGATGGTTTAATCCGGGTGCTTTTTGCTTTGCCCCTTCCCTCTGCCTCCCCTGATGCTTTTTTCAAGACCAGTTACTTGTTTGTAATAAAGAAGAGCAACCTGTTTAATTTAGAGATGTTTTTGTACTTCTTAAAACAGTACATGTTAGCATTTGTAATTTGAAAGAACTAGAAGTGTTTAGAGAAATAATGTTTTATCCGAAACCATATAAATATAGGCATATTAGACAAAATATATATATATTTTGTTTGTTTTAGTCACATCTCTTATTAGTAGTGGAGTAAGAATTGAAAAGTAGATAAAAGTCATCAGCAATAAAAATTTATCCTTTTTAAAGAATAAATGTTACTTTGGCATTAAATTTTTCTACTGAAAACCCAAGTAACAGTTTAAATTGTAGTTGAAAATACAATTTAATTATTATTCAGTTGATTCATTTGGTAAGATGAATAAAAGAACTCAAGTACTTGATCATATGGTTCTTAATAAACTGTGATACTTATGTGTGATTATACACTATTTTGTCACAGCTTTTTGATTCCTCCCTAAATGTAATACTCCCTGAAAAAAGTAGTATTTGAATTTTTTTGGCCTCACTTTAACCTCACAGATGGTTATATTTGATTTTGAATTTTGCAAAGAACTAATATCTCTTAACAAATTTTTGAAAAATTTCTTCTATTTCTGTACTATTTGGTAGTACTAGAAATTTGAAATTTTTTATTCTTCACTGTGTGCCAGAATCACATGGAATTCTAGCTAAAGTTCCTAGAGAAGGGCTTAAGTAAGAAAATTATAGCCACATGTATAAAATTAGAAGTAAATGAATAAAAAGTATCAAAGTGAATTACTTTAATTTTCTTGTAAGAATTAGACATAAATAGCTTAGCACTTACCTAGAGTCTGAAGTGTTACTATTTATGATATATAATTAAATACAGACCTTGTTTAGTATTCTCATTAGCTTCTGATGTCTGTTTTGCAGCATAGGTACGCATTTTCCTAGCCATAGAGATGACTACATTGTGAAAAATACCTCTAGAAAGATAACCTTGCTGTTAAGGTATATCTATTCTAAAGTTAAAAATTAAGTATCACTATATGTTTCCTTTGAAATAACTGTCTATGCTTGACAAAAAAAAATATATATATATATCTTATGGGAATAGTTTTACATAAGAGTGAAATGTGAGAGGGCATTTTTCTGTTTGTCTGTAGTAATTTGTCTTATGACCATTTGCAAAGGTTCAGTTAACCCGTCCCCCCAAAAAAAATCAGTAGTAGTATAGAATTTTGTTTGGAAACAATTTGGAAAATTGTTATTTTTAACTCATAACCTTACATACGCAGTAACAGACTAATATATATTCATTTTTCTCTTTGCCTTTTAGAGATTTTTGGTTTCTGTTACATGTGAAAGATTTCTACCCTTTTCAAATATCGTACTTGTGTTTTATGCATATAGGAATAAAGTTTAATGATTGTCGCCTAATTATGAAACTACCAAACTGATTTGAAAGCTTAAAATTTGGATTTGACTGTATTATATTTTTGATATATAATATTTGCTCAGTGTGATCATTCAAAAATTATATATTGTTTCACAGTTACTGGAGAAAATGGTTCCTCTTTATATTACTCTCAGAAGTACTGCTTGCTGAATTTGGGTTTTGTTTCTCCCCAGACGGTGGGTACGGCTGCTGTTTGGACGAGAGTTCCCCCTGCAGGATCTCCTGGTGGTCTGGGACGCCTTGTTTGCAGATGGCCTCAGCCTGGGTTTAGTGGATTATATTTTCATAGCCATGTTACTCTACATCCGAGATGCTCGTAAGTGTCAGTGACCTTGCCAACAGTCAAGTAGGTGGTCCTGAGTTTTTTAACTGTGTCTTATCTTTTAAATTTACTTTATGTTTTATTTCGAATTATCATACCTGCATTTTTATAGTAGGCAATATATCAAAGTTTCAAAGGCACAAACTAAATATAGATTTTGTTAGTTATCCATGTACCTGTTGGGAGATGTGGGTGATTTTATCCTGAGAGAATTGGAATATTCTCCAGAACCATTTTTCTAAACACTTTATTCCTGCTTTAATCTCCTCATTACACACATTTGGGAAACATACATATAAAAAGCCGGTGTCTCGGATATGTTTAGAGCTCCACCTTCTGACAGGTAGGGAGTATTCAAGAATATTTATCAGGAGACTGGAGCTGTTTCTGTAGTATCAGCAACATGCCAATAAGAAATCAGTATTTCATTTAAAGATCTTTTAACTTATTCCCAGCTATATTTTGGCCAAATGTATTTGTCAGTAGAGTGCCAGGTGGTAGGTGGATTCCCGTCTCATCAGACCCACCTTCGGGTGCTTGCCATGGCTGGGAAGTCGGTGCCAGTCCCGTTTGAGAGTCTGATAATCCTCTGCTTGAAGGAAATATCAGAGCATGTTTTAAATTTCAAAATACCTCAAATGGTTTTCCTTCTCTGAAAAATAATCGCAGTCCACAAAACAAGATTTGTAAGCCAAAATATAATTAGGAAAGATTACACAAAGTGATGATGAAATAGGAAATAAGAAACTACCAGAAGGGTGGGACGTTGTCAGAAGCACATAAGCTGCTCGGAGTCGCTCATAGTCCTGGCTGCTCACTTGTTGTGTGGCTCCGTGTTTGTTCGCTGAGTACCAGGCGAGCCAGATGCTCTTGCTGGGCCTCTGGAAACACTAATAATGTTCTTTAAATTCTAGATTATACTTTTTTAATTCCCCCCATATTACTTAAATGAATAAGTGACAGGAGCACCACATTTTATCCAGAACTTGTGGTTTTTTGTTTGCTTGTTTTTTTTTATTTTTTTATTTGTGCCTTGAAGATCAGATGGTTGGGGCTTTGCCACACAAAGTGAAAAGTTCCTTTCTTCTGAGTGAGAGCTAGCTGTGTAAGAACATGGAAATTATAAGAGGAAACATCTGGGAAGAAGAGAAGGATGTTTGAGTAGATTTGATGAACAATAGAGTTTAGGATATTCAAGACTAATCTCTCATTTTAAAGTTGTATGATTTTAATATAGTGTATGTGAAAAACCAAAGGATTGAGAAGCCTCTTTTAGTTAAAAAAAAATGCTTTTGGATATTTTCCCAAAGTTTCTGAGTCAGACAGCTTTCGAAATGTATTCTGATTTTCACTGGTGTTAAACAATTATTTACTCCTTTCTTAACTTTGATTCATCAGAACTGTATTTTAATTTAATTACCCTGTTTCCTGTGCTAAGATCTACTTTTAAAAATCAGTTTCATAAAACCCTTGTATGTTTTTCATCCCCGCACTGATGACATTATAAAACACACAGGCACAATGGGAAAATGCGGGGGTAATGAATTTGTTTATTTCAATATTGAGTTTCAAAATTATTTCAAAATTAAGCACATTATTTCAGTTTACTCAGTTAAATCCCTAACAGTGGGTAAGAGTTCCTAAAAATAGGGTGACTATTAAGTATTTAAGGGGCACTACCTCTGTCCTCAAGAAGTTTACCAACTATTAGGAAAGACTGACGTAATTAATTTCAAACTAACATATCTGGTACTGAATAAGGGATCTGCATTCCAGGCAGAAGGAACAGCATGAACAAGGCTAGGAAGTAAGAAACAGCTCAGTGGGGGGTTGTGGATGTGTTTTTATTTCTACAAGCTGTTTGGTATTCTTAGAGTGCAAAGGGAGAGTGACTAACTGGCTGTGAGGCTGAAGACATGAACAGGAATGGGACCACAATGAGAGTCTTAATGCTGTAGGTGATGGGACGCTGCTGAAAGGTTCAGAGCAGGAGAAGTGTGGTCAGTTTTAGATCACTCCGGCAGCACTGTGGAAATGCTAGACTCGAAGGAGACAAGATCAGAGCGAGGAAATCAGATGAAAGGTTATGACCATAGTCCAGGAGGAAAATAATAGATTAAAGAGATCTTCAGAACTGCAGTCCACATGTCTTAGTGATGAAATCTAATGGGCGAGGGTGAACTGGGGGTCTAACATGATCCCCGGCTTTGTGAGCTGACTGGCTGGGTAATACATATAACTTGGCAGGAAATAGAAGGACCGGCAGGTTTTAGGAATGGATATGATTGAGTTTGGGCCATGCTGAATCTGAGATGCCCATAGGAAATCAGATGTGGAAAATAAAGCTCCCTGTCAGTATCAAGGCTGCAGGTTTATTTTTGCAAATGGTAAATAGGTATGTGTTAGTTAACACCACAGCAGTGGGTGTGATCTCCTAAGAACAGAGGGCTGCATATCCCAGTTTGAATGGCGAACAGTCTGGGTTTACACCTTTTAGGAAGAGTAGGAATAGTTAACACTGCCCTTTTCCACTCTCAGAGGCATCCCATTAGGATCCTAAGATTAGATGGTCTGTCTGCACAAGGTGGTGCTCCCAGCAGGTGAACGTGGGCAGAGCTGAAACTCCGTGTCTCTCATTGTCAGTATTTCAGAGGCACCAAAGAAGGAAGAGCTTGTGTTGTGACCTCACAAAATTGTGTTCTCTGAGCTGAGAGAGGTAACACGGTCAGGAGTGCTGAGGTGCAGTAAGGCAAGCCTGGCAAAGCACCCCCAGACTTGGCCCCGTGGAGGGACAGGCATTGGAGACCTTTGTCAGCGTGGACTCAGTGGGCTGGACAGGTGGAGCAGAGACTGGGTTGGGGGGCTGAAGAGTAACTGGACAGCTAAGAATTCTAATAGCCTTTTCTGCCATTTTTGTTGTTGTTTGTATGCATCACATTTTCAACTAAAAGTCAACTAAATAAAAAGAATGCAGAGATAGCAAGCGCAGAGTAATCTTTAAAGAAAGTCACTAGGGAAGGGAAGAGGAAGCTGTAAGGAGGGTCAGCGTGGGGTAGGGAGGGTTGGATGGCCGCCTTGGGGGTGAGACGGGGCGCCGGAGATGGAGTGAGCTGACGGAGATGTGTCCTCCTCAGCCCAGTCTGGGCAGCTCCTCCAGGGATCAGCACTAGTCTTTTTTCCCCTCCTGTTCCAAGGATGGGATCTATGAAAAGATAAATTATCTTGTTTACTTGATGTTTTTCCTGTTTCTTACTCGTTCTTCACACCCATTCCTCCACCGCAGTGAGAGGATGGATTTTGTCTCAGTTTCCCTCCTGTATCCCAGCATCAGACAAGGCTGGGTGCAGAGTAAATATTTTTTGAGTGAAATAAGAGAAGAAACCAGGGCCCCGAGGCAGTGGGGCGAGGTCGTGGGTCCTGTGGAAGACTGGCCGTGGAACAGGCATGAAAGACAGTGCTGGTCTGGGCGGGTTTGGGGAGTAGGCCAGCTTATAGGCGAAGACAGACAGGGAGGTGCTCCATGCCTGATGAAGGACCGAGCGCAGCTGTCTGCTGGGGGCTCGGGGGGTGTCCCTGAGAAGTGTGGAGGGGTGGCTGACTAAGATGAGCTGTTGACCATCCTACAGAGACAGACAGCGGGCAGTGGCACCAGACCTCAAGATTCTCTTTTCCCCGCCGTACTTGCCAAGCAAGATTCGAAGAGGGAGATCATGATCCAAGCTTCAAGGTGGCCCACGTCCAAATAAGCCAGGCAGGCTGAGGACATTTCCTGAGTGGGTGAGGATGTGTTGGGAGAGCAGTGTGGCCAGGAGAAGGCCACTAGGATGTCAGAGTCCAGGGATTACAGGGAGGGTGCGAAGCTGACAGCATCAGAGGTTGTAGTCAGATGGGGACATGGAGCAGTTCTGGGTGTGACCTGGATGGTCAAAGTTCATGAAGGGGCAGTAGGTCCCTGGGGCAGTGGAAGGGTTGGCAGGGAGCTGAGCTGTCTGTCTGGTCCTCCATGGGCACCGTCCCAAGAATCATGAAAGGAAAAGATGGAGAAGCAGCACAGTGACCCGGCCGTGGAAACATCAAATAAATGCAGAAGAGTGGCCAAGAAAACAACTGCCATTCAGTCATTCATTCAAGGAGTCAGCCATTCAACCAGCATTTACTGAGTGCCTCCCATTTGCCAGCAACCATGGTGCCCACATGACAGTAACGAAGGGGCGGGGTGGGAGGATAGCTGCATGGCGTGAGCTTCAGATGACGAGGGAGTGATAGGGAGCAGTGGTTTGGGGACAGAACAGGGAGCGAGGCAGCGTCCCCCCACCCCACCTCAGGGCTGGAGGTTGCACGGGCAGCAGTGGTCAGGAGGGCTGGGCTCAAGGGGAAAGGCGTTGTTCCTCAGGGACAAGCACTGTGAGGGAGAAAAGGAGCAGGAAGAAGACACGGAACAGGATCAGGTGGAACGCGTGGAAGGGCAGTGCTAATAAATGCGCTTGCATCTTAGGTCATGGTCAACAAGAGGACAGCCTCAGCATTCCACATGCAACACTGGTGTCACATTTTTATTCCATCTCTGGATTTGGACTCATAATGCCCTGACTGGGGCACCCAGGGTGATGTCCAGTTACACCCGGTAGTTTTCAGGCTCATTCGCTCAAAAAGTTGCAACTGAACACCGCTGTGCCATGCTCTGGGCACCACATGTGTTCTTTTGGAGCTATAGGTGAGGTATTTGTAGCTCAAAGCATGTCACACTTGGGGAAACTAACTGAGCCTTCTTTCAATGACAGCAGTCCTCACTTGGGGTCCATGCCTCCCAGGGGTTCAGTGGAGGGCTTCCAAGAGCCTGTCATCATCTTGATGCTGTTCGTTTCCCTGAGTCAAGGGTGTGTATTTTCATCATCTTCTCAAAGGAATATCTAACCCACCGCCAAAAGAAGAGGTTAAGGTTCAGTGTATCCAGTTCAAAATCCTGATTTTATAGGCACAGATAATGAGGACTG